GCACCCGCAGAGTCGCGTGTATTTAGCACCCTAAGCTTTAAAATGGTGGCAGGGGCACTTTAACTAAAGCTTGTTCAACGAACTTTAGTTAAAAGCATCCCTGCCATGATTTTGAAGCATAGGGATGCTGAATACACATGACACGGAGGCTGCTGGAGCATGTTCCAGCAGACTCGATTAATTAGCGTGCATCAGATCAAATGTCCAGCATGTGTATAGGTGCCACTTAATGTTAATAGCCAGTGAAGTCATTGGGACTTTCAGGTGTAGGAGTTAATTTCTTTACATAAAAGTGCAAGAAAACAACTGCCAACATTGAATGGAATTAGATATGGCAAAGAAAATTAAGAGAGTTTGCCTGTATTAAGAGAACAGGGAAAGAAGTGGTGTTATGCAGTAAGGAGAGATAGATTTAAGTAATTAGGATATGACCCTGAAACTGAGTGAATATTCCTCAGTTTTCAATGAGAAAAAAAAGAATGTGGAAAAATAAAGACAGAAACAGGATGGCAAATTAGAGGTGCAGAAACAGAAGTTACCACAACTAAAGGAAAAGGCTCAAAAGCAAAATGCACTCAAGTCAAGGGCAAGGAGAAACAGGTTAACCTCATCCTTAAAGTACTGAAGTCACAGGTCTGCTAGCAAGGATCTTTGATTATATAGTGCCACACCAAATACACTAAGTAAAGAACAACAAAGTGTTGTGCCTGTACTTAAGGGGAAAAATTTAGAGGCAGTAAGAAGCCTAGTAGTATATAAGGCTTTATAGAACAACTTTTGAAGGAAAAAAAATATTTGATGACATGGAGGAATATAGAAAAATGGGAAGAAGTGCGACCCGAATTTACTTAAGGCAGATGAGACCAGACTAAAGCTAGCTTTCTTTAATAGATAATAGATTTTTAGATGAATAAAATACTGTGGATGGAATCTGTCTGGACTTCAGTAAAACATATAATATGGAAAACTTGGCTGCATGCAGAAGGCAGAGATTAGTAAAGAACTACAAGGCAGGTAAGAGACTGAATAAAGTAGTGTTGGAAGAACTATCAGGCTAGAGGGAGGCTATTAGTGGAGTCCCTCTAGGACTGGTCTTCAGACTGATAATGAGAAGAAAAAAAAAAAAAAAAAGCAACCCTGGCACAAAAAGTTCAACTCTGTTATATGACAAAGTTGGAAGGCAGCTGTCAGTTAGGGCTGTGTGAAGCTTCGGGTGCCGATTCAATTCAGAGGAGATTCGGCCCAATTCGGTACCTGAATCTCCGAATCCGAATCAAACCGGGACTAATGTAAAGGTCTGAATCAATTTGAAGCTCTCCGAATCGACTGGGAAAAGATTCGGAGAGCTTTGGTGATTCAGGCTTGCTGCAGCAGGAAGCTGGACCCAGACTCCATGCTGAAGGAGTGGGGAGGGGATCATGGGGACACCCCCACCAGGCCCTACCCCCTGCCTGCTCCCCCAGCCCTCCTGAGCACCCCTGGCCCCCGCCCACTCCCACAGCTCCTCCATGGCTGCCCTGCCTGACCTCAGCTCCTGGCTGTTTAAAAAAAAAAGCTCTTACTCACCAGCTGCTGCCAGGCAGGGGGTGATCCCTGCTGCTCCCACTGCCCCGTGCTGCGTGGGGGGCTCTGCCAACCCCCACCTGCTCTCCCAGCCCCTACCACCACCCCTCCCCTCCATGGCTGCCCTGCCCGCCACAGCTCCCAGCCCTTAAAAAACAAAACAAATCCCGAACTCACCAGCTGCTGCAGCAGCCTTGAGTCATCTAGCGACTTGTGGGAGCGCCCTCCACACAGCACGGGGTAGCGGGGATTGCCTCCCTGCCTGAAAGCAGCCAGTGACTCTAGGGTTTTTTGGGTTTTTTAAAGGGCCAGAGCTGGGGCAGGCAGGGGCCGGGGGGCTCACTGCAGAGCCCCCCGATATGGCATGGGGCACTGGGGGGGGCGGTGGGGAACACCCGCCTGCCTGGCAGCAGTCAGTGAGTGCAGGCTTTTTTCCCCCCACAAAGAGCTGGGACCTGGAGTGGGTGGGGCAGCCATGGAGAGCAGATAAGGGATGGGGCCTGTGTGATTCAGAGATTTGATTCAGGACAGTGATTCGAATCAGCAAATCCCATCACTGTCCCCCGAATTGGCTGAATCCAAAGCGAATACTAGCCACCTTGCACAGGCCTACTGTCAATACAGGGGAAGGAGTAGAGTATCATATAAAAAGAACAGAATGACCTTAGAGTGAAATAATAAGAAAAATAATTAACTTTAACAGTATAAATTGCAAAATCATGTACTTATTGACCAATTGTAATAAATATCTATACATTTTGGTGTTTGATTTTGAGTTTATCATCATGGAAAAATCAGAGCTCCCCCTGCCCCCTTCACTCATCAAGACATGGGTCCCACTGCAACTGTCCTCATGCTGCTTTGTGGTGCTGAGCAGCCCTGATATACTGGTGTCCTGTCCCTTCCCATGCCAGTGCCCCTCACTCCAACCCACAGCCCTCTGACCCCGCCAGCGCCACCTACTCCCAACCCAGTCCCCGCCCCCAGTCCTGCTGGTGCCCCTCACTCCCGACCTGCAGCCCCCCACCCTCCTCACTTCTACAGAGAGCCCCAGCTGCCAGGGCTACAGGATCAGGGCCAGCAGCCCCCTGCCTACCCCACCAGCACCCAAACCCCAGCTGTCACGTGTGGGAGATGGCAGCTGCTGTGGCTGGAGTGCAGCACAAAGGCCGTCCCCCTGCCTGTGTGTGGCATGGCCAGAGCAGAGCCCATGGGGCTCCCCACCCTGCTGCCCTCCCCCAGAGTCCTCTGCAACCCAGCAGGGGGGATGGGAGGCTTGTTGCTGCCGCCATTGCCAGGAGCCCCATGCCAGCTGCGCCACCATGGCGAGGCACCCCCTGTCCGCCCAGGAGCAGCAGCAGTGCAGAGTTCTGCCCCTTGCTGCTCCCAGGTAAACGGGGGTATCTTGCCATGGCAGTGTGGATGGCACAGGGCTCTTAGTGGCAACTGTGGCAGCAGCATCTATGCTCCCCACCCCACTCCAGCCTCCCGTGCCAGATCCCACCTGCTGGGCTGCAGAGGTCCCCAGATGGAGGGCAGCAGAGCACAGAGCCCCAAGCCCACAGTGGACAGCCCTCATTCATCCCTGCCCCATAAACAAATCTGGGGGAGGCAGGGGGCACATGCTCTCCCATTCCTCTGTTCCCCAGAAGTGCAGAGGGGTGGGGAGTCAGCCCTCCGGCTGCCACCCCCAGCTCTGTCCTGCTCTCTGGCCAGCCTCACAGCTGCACACTCCCCAGGTGACTTAAATGATTAGATACCTCAGAGCCTTACTTCAGGCTCCTAATATTTAAAAAGCAGTAGCTGCTATTTAACAATCATTTTCCAATAGTGTTTAATTGTATAAAAACAGAAATGATTTTACTCCTTTAAACAGAGAGTAAACCTCATCTATTGCGTGCAGCAGAAATAGACTTTATTTGTCATGAACCCAGTTGTGGGTTATCTCCTTCATAAGAGAACTGTGGGTAGAATAAGCCACTCCAACACAGTTTTGACATTTTTAAGCATAAAAGATACACGAAGGTCCTTACCTGAAAAATATCAACGCATTTTGAAAAAACACAGCTAGTCCTGGGTATACATTAATGTCTGAAAAATACAAGAGTGCAATAAATAGTATGAAATTCTTCTGTATTACAAAAGTATATTTTAATACTTTATTCAGGATGTTACTGTCTGGACAGACTCAAATTATTGCTTTGGAAGAATATAAAATTTCTCAATCTTACTGGTGTTGACAGATTAACTACATTAAAAATATTACAAAGCTACAATAAAGGGGCCCAATATATAGCCTGGATTTGATACTGCTGTCTTCTGGTATTTATACAATTCTAAGTTAAATATATTCAATCCTTTAGGTCCCTGGCACATGTTATATTTCTGGCATGAATACCTTGTTAACTGTGCCATAAACAGCAACAAGGAATATGTTCAAAGTCATGGCATCATAAAAAGACCACCACGATGTTACTCAAAAACTATGTAACATTTGCACCTGGTTTATACAGCGCCATAAATTGAATGTGTTGTGTGCCCTCTCATCCTGATGTTGACTATCAGCTGATTGTCAGCATCAGGGTCTGGGCAGCCCCACATCCAGGACCTGACTGGAGGCTGGATGCACTGTCTGCATCAGCCTGATCCTGATACAGACAATGATGAAGACTTGCCAGGATTTGGCATCTTAAAGAGCCTTGCCCTGCAGCCCCTGACTTTTAAAGCGCTTTAAGGTGCCAGGTCCCAGCAAGCTTCAGGGCATGGGGCAGCTCCATGATCTGGCACACAGCCTTCCCCTGCCTAATCTTAAGGATTGGACAGGGGACTACCTGAGTCCAAACCAGGATCAGGGCTGCCAGTGCTGAATGCCAACTCTAAGCTGTGAATCAGGATTCAGCACTGGACCACCCTGGGGACAGACACAAAAGCTGCCCCCTGCCCAATTAGTGGGAATCAGGCTGGGGGCAGGTCCAGGTCTCAAACCTGGCTACTCCCTGCTCTACCCCTGGAGGATGCCAGACACAGCTGGGGATGCGATTGCTTTTCCCATCCTCAGTTCCATGAGCAGTTTTAAAGAGGCACCCAACATAAGCAGCAGGCAATGGGAAAGCTCCCTCAACCCCAGTTCCATTTTCCTGCTTAGAGAGCCAGCTGGTGCTAGCAACTGGGGATGAGGAAACTTTCCCATCCTCTGCTGCTTGCTCAGATACCTTTTTAATTGGCTGTGGGGAAAAAGGGCAGTTTTCCTTCCCAACCCCAAGCTATACCATGAGGTGCACTGGGAGCCTAATATCAGGGAGCCTCTCCCCAGTGTCAGCCTTACAGTGCCCAGGGAACTTGGGCTCATAACATGCCAGACCCTTAAAAAGTGGGTGTGCAGTTGGGAGCTGCATGCCTGATTTTTTTTTACATTCTCAGATGCCCCTGGAAGCAGCACCTGGGGAGGGGGAAGTTCCTGGCTCCCTAGCAGCTGGGGAGTTAGGAGGTTCCTACTCCCCAGCTGCAGGTGTCTCCCAACACTGGCAGTTGACAATGACAATTGGGGTTTGAAGAATTTTATGCCCCATTCCCAGAATGCAGGGCAGATTACGCAATTTGGGAAATGGGGCATAAAATTCCTCAAACCCCAATCATGGGACTTAAATGTCTGCCAGCAACCATAGTGACCACACGTGCCAATATAAGAAGGGTCATAAATAGGATGACCATGTTCCCTAGTCTCAAAACAGGGCATTCCACTCTCACCCTGGCCCCCACTTCTCCAGCATGTTCAGCTGTCTCTGAGCTCTGGTTGGGAGCAGGGAGAGCACAAAGGCAAGACAATCTAGTTTTAAAATACCAGTCCCAGGTGTTGCTCTGAAAACGAAACAAAGGCACTAATTTGACCAAACTAGGATGTGTGTTTGAAATGGGACTGTCCCAGCAAAAACAGAACACGTGGTCATCCTAGTCATAAACCCAGAGGAAGAATTCAGCTCTTACAAGAGTGCTGCATGTCTGCAGTTAGAAATTTTGGATTTCCTGCCTTCCAGCTGATAAGGAAGGTCTCAGGAATATGCACAGTATAATTTTCAGTCAGCACACCCAAGTATGGCTCTTCTTATACTGTGAACTTGCAAAAATTTCAAGTAACATCAACTGAACAGATATGCTGGCAAATTTCACCCTCATTACCAAATAAAATCAAAAGTACTAACTGGAGTAAAACATTCTGCACTGTGTTTAAAAATTATTTTTTTGTTCCTACTTTGGAACTGTTCCCTCCTCTCCACTAAAACATAATGAAGAACTACACTTACTTTGTGTAACATATGCTCCAAAAAGGATCCACATTGAAGCAATAAGTGAACCAAACATCAGCATGAAACCAATAAAGAGCCAGACACGAGCACCTGAAAAAATATTAAAAGCATAAAAATGTTTTATTGCATAATTCATTAGATTAGATGATGCGCCATAGAAGACAATACTCAGATCAGTCCATAAGAATACCCTTGCAGACTTTCTAACACATCATCCTCCCTGGGGATGGAAAACTTGTTGTGCCTTCCCCCTATAGAAGAAGGGATTCTTCCAAGATAAGAGTGATTGTCAGTTATTCACAAGAGTTCAAAGTCCCCTGTGGGAAAGTTTTGTGTCTTTATAATCACTCTAGGTGCAACAGGGATCCCCATCTTCTAGCAGTGCATCTCCAGGTGGAGTTATATTACCAAGAACTCCCAATTCGATTCTGCATCTAGCAGAACTCATGGGGTAGGAGTGGAGTTCCAACAGAAAAAGAGAACATGAATTACTGCCACATTACATTTTCAAGGAAATTGGCATGGGGCTAACAAGAATCGTTCTGGTCACTGCACCTCATACACTGAGTCACCACATTCTCTCCACTTTACAAAAAAAAAAAATCAAACAAACCTCCAGACAATGAGACTATCTTTTGACAGAAAAAATATAAAGCTATTACAAGATGGTTGATCACCTCAGTAGTACAATGTTTACAAGCAGTTTCCCCTCCATCCAGAGAAGCCAACATTGTGACTTGGTAGAGAAGTGAGATACCTTTGGCTTGGTGGCAGCTATTTTTAAAGTTACTCTACATAAAGATAGAGAAAATCATGTACAAAGTAAAGTTAAAACCCATATATGCAAGCCACCAGGGCACTCCCTTGTCACAGG